TGTGAACCCATACGACTTTCGTTCTTCCATTTCTTGGTTTCGAACTGTTAGTTGAATTATTCTTGATTTCATCCGTTATTCATTCAATTCACAGTCACAAGGGGCCGGAAGGGCAATTATCAGAAGAGGTGTCTGGAAAAGGTGCCTTTTCAGAAGAATACGCTGCCTGCCGCGGTTCTACCGCGGTCGCGGCAGAACCGCGGTCAGATAGGCTTTCTGAACCTGCCTGCCGCGGTTCTACCACGGTCGCGGCAGAACCGCGGCCAGAGAGGCCCTCTGAACCTTCAGCATTCACTTCTTCAAATTTTCAATTTCCCTCCATTTTATTTCCCTCCATTTCCAATTCACACTTCTTCTACTTTAAAGCCCAATGGCTTAAAGTCCAACATATACAAACTCTGAGTTGAGGTGTGTCAAATTGACCCTGTTATCAGGACATTTCACCGTGAGTGTTCTTACCTTTTCTCAGGCAGGAAAGGCACTCCCGAGCAGCTGGTAAACTTAGTAATTTTTCATAATAAAGAACGTTATTGTGGTTTAAAATCAGTCTAATAAAAGAGTAAAGTGTTTTCAAAATTGTCAAAAAGGTGAAACGTTCTTGTAATCATTTATATCTTGCTTTTTGATTGTTTGGGGGATAACTACGGGGAGTCCTTTATTTACTTCTTTTTTTCCCTTTCTAAACTAATTTTTGTTAGAAATGTAATAGCAGTATCTGTGGACATGTATATATCAAAGCAAATGTTATTTGCCTGAGAGGAAATGCTACCAGGACACTTGAGCACCACATAAGACTTGTCATGTGAATTTAAATAGAAAAAAAAAATACAGATATGGAAGTGAAATAAACAGTCATTTGTTACTTATTTCAGTCTTCGTGTCAACTCAGGGAGAACTTCTTGGCAGAAACTCAATTCATTCCAGGCAGCAAGTGTACGATCTTTTTTTAAGCACAAATAAAAGTGAAACTGTAATTTGTTACTTATTTCACAGTTTAATTAGAAGATAATATTCCTGTAAGGACCAACTAAGAAAACAAGCTGCTGCTCGAATATGATCCGGGAAGGATCAATTAAAACCAAGTAGATCACCAAGGAATTTGTTGAGCATCCCAGGCAAAGAACTTGCCATTATCAGATCTCTTTGTGTTGTTTATGATGCTGAGCAGCTTCTGAACAGAGTACTCCTTGGTGAAAAGTTTTTCTTTTGGAACATTTCTTTGAAATGGTTTAGAGAGATCAGTGTCCACCGTGCCTGGGTGCAACAAAATGCATATAATTGGATCCTTCTTGCGCGCAAATTCCACCGCCACATTCTTTGTTACTGCAGCACTAAGACATGGTTAGCATGAACTAAAGATTTAGTCCCAATTGAGGACTTGTCTAATAATTTCAGTCAGACTATTCAGGTACACAACAAGCCACCTTCGTCATTATTGACTTTAACTCACTACACCACTGTATGTATGTATCCTATAAAGAGTCCCGGGCACATAAATGCCTTTTCATCAGTGTCGGGACTCACTAAACTTAAGATCGAAAAGCCAAAAAAAATTAGTTTCTCCCTTTTCTGATCTCCGTACTCAACAAGACTTGAAAAACAAATATATGTGATGAAATCTTAATTAGCCAATGTTGCAAATAGCACCAGAAAGCATTCAAGTGTTATCTTGTTTGGTTGCTTACAAAATAGTACAAGGAAAGGAAACACAACCAGGAACTCGTCATGCATTCTTTAGAACCAATTTCCTTGTGTATTTTGCAATGTCCTCAAAAGCAGAAAAGAAAACCAAATATTTGTAGCTGAATTTAAGGGGACATGAGTCCAGAAACATGCATAACATTTCACCAAAGATTTTGCTTGGTTATTAGCAGACCTCAACATATATTGAATTACCGTAACATTAAGTCATTGTATTATGGAATTATAGAAATGCTTGAAGAAGTTTATCCCGAACTAAAAAAGAAACATTCCAACGTTTTCTCATAATCATACTGAATTGTATTGTGTGTGTCCACAAGAAATGATACTCGGAAGAAAATGCACCACGTAGTGGCAGATGTGCACTACACTAGTGATATCTGTCGAATTACATTATTGGTTTCTTGTCCCTAAACAATCAAAACATAGCCAAGTATGTCCCAAGCATCGATGAGATTAAGGGTGCTGGTGACGCTGATCATCTCTAAACTGAATTGTAAGCAAGATAGAAAGGATACGGAGAGAGGAATGAACTTCACACTCAATATCCTTTAAGCAGAGAAAACTAAACTGCTCACCTATCCTATGATTCTTTAGGCAAAAATAAACATTTATCAAGTTAAGATTTGCGCTCCAGACTGAGCCAGAAGAAATTAAAACCTGGCCAAGGTGGAGACTGTCGTGTTTGGACCCCTACTACCACCAGTCTCTTGACAGCATCTACCATATAATTTATAAGAGAAGCTCTTTGGTTGAACTGAGCGGACATTCTAGTGATCATCTAAAACTGATTCTCATTTCCCTACAATTGACTTACCAGTTCATAAAATGCATAAAACTGGAACCATTGTTTTATCTCTTTTCTTTGTTTCTCCTTTTCCTGTTAAGTGGTTAATACAATTAGTAATTGTTTCCTAACCGTGCAACAAATCCTCAAATCCTTGTACGCAAAATCTTGCCTTCGATGATCATGCTAGAGATATCTATAATACATTTGCTATCATTTTTCTATTATCTTACACCATATATTGCTGGATCAAAGAAAGTTCATGGAAAACTTCAACTTTACCATCCATAAGCATAAGTTAAATAAGTAACCGGTTAAATGGATTTATTGAAGAAGCATACACTGATTCAAGGCCGTCTTAGATGCACGATAGGAATGCCACCCTCCCAAACTATTGTCTCCAATCGATCCCACCCTTGCGCTTAAATTAGCAACAACAGCAAAATCCTTGTCAGTACCACACCCACCTCCAGCTTTCAGCAAAGGCCACATATGCTGTTCACCCAAAACATAAACTAAAGGTTACAACATGTAAGGTAATGAGGTATTCAATATAAAAAAGAAAAAGGTAAATTTAACATTGAGAATCCTCAATTTATGACATGATATACTATAACAGAATCTCTTATCAGCACATCCCTGCTGTATTTTTTTAGAAATGCAGCACTTGGTAACTCATGAAACACGTGTATGGGCGGATCATTCTTCTAAGTGTCTCGATATAACTAGTGGATGGCTAACTTTAGCAAGATCTCTCTTTTTTTTTTCGATGAGTATAACTTTAGCAAGATCTTCTATGCAGAAAGTCCAGCAATCAGATTCTTGTACGCTCCATGATGGTTTCCCCTTAATTCACCAGGATAATCAAATATTTCCAACTTCAACTGATGATGGCGGCTCAATATAATTGAGATAGGAAAATATGATTTATCTAGATTAGTCTATTTATTGTTCAAATCTATAGGAAACCTAAAGGATCTGGTGGTCCTCTTTCTTAACTTCTATCAAGTTAGTTCTGCGAACAATAAAGAGTTAGACAAGCTATTATTCAACCCTCTGAGGGAAGCACTTGCCGAAAATCTTGAAATGGAAACTTCAAGACTCTGGACTAAGATTCAGCATGACAGCGAGTCCGACAATAAGATTCCTATATGCTCCATGTTTATTTTTCGCTAAATTCACCAAAATAATCCAAATATCCAACTTAATTTGATGATGGCGGTTCAATACAACTCACATAGGATATTTTATTCAGATTATTTTATTGTTCAAAATTTATAGCATCTGGATGTCTTCTATCTTAACTTCTATCAAGTTAGACAAGCTAGTATTCAACCCTCTGAGGGATGATTTGCTACAAATTAATGGAAAACTTAAGACTCTGGACTAAGATCTTTCAGCATGACAAGAAAGAATTTCTACAAACTGAGACATCTCTGACAAATTAGAATTGTGCAGATCATTGAAGGATATTTTACCACGTTATCTTTTCTCCACTTCTTCGCTTAGGTTGTGATGTACAGTTTGTTAATAACTGGTTATTAACATTACTACTAACAAAGGGCTAAGATCGCTGTGTTAAGAGCTCATAGTTTAAGAAAGATTCAAAGTCTCACAGAATACTAGGATTCTTGTCTGCGACAAGGTTCGAACTAGTGATGTGCGCCTACCAACACATCAAGCGCTGCGCTCTTACCAGTAAACCAAAGCCTTGGTGGCCTGTTTGATGATTATTGATGAAAAAGAAAATGTTCGTCTTTGGGAAAAGAGAGTTGCTACTCTATTCTAATCTGCTTGGTCAGCAAATTTTGGTATAAAGGAGGCCAACTTCAACTAAGTTGTTTAGCTTCATTGTCAGGTAAAAAACATACTAGCTCCTTCTCTTCAAGGAGAGGGGAGACAATTCCTGATCATTTACACGTTAACAGGGATAATAACTAGTTTGTCGATCAAACATCAGGTACAAGATATTCATGGTTGAGCATTCGAAATATTGATTGCACAGAAATGGTTGCTGCTGCAAAAGAAATGACAGAGAAATAGTTGTTTTCGCCTACAGCATGACAGAAACTAAAATACCGCACCTTAATAACCAAAATAGGACCAACAGCATTGATATCATAAGCAAGAAGCAAGGATGATCTCTGCACCTTACTCAGTGTCGTTTCTGTACTGAAAAAAGAGAGAAGATAAATGATTCACTTCACCAATTCCATAATTCAAAGAAATGAAAGGACCATTTATCTGTTTCATCATTATAAGTCGCAACAATGTCCAATCTAAGATTGATAAATTTATTAAAACAAAACAAAGAAACAATATACCTGGCTGCATAACATTGGGTATTGAAAGAACACCAGATGCATTAATTAGAAGGTTTAGCGAGCCATATTTGTCTCTGATCGATTTGGCTGAGTCCTGAGCATTACCATTGTTATGAAATACTAGAAAGTACATGAACAAACAAGACTGACAAGAATCCAAGAAATACTCAAATGATTCTTTTGGCAAGTGGAGCTAAGTTAGTCATCCCACTTATGAACAAAAAGGATAAAGGAAAAAGTGGGTAAGGAACTAACTATTGAAATATACCTCCATAGTGCTTTCAACTGTAAGATCTAACTGATGAATGTCAAGGCGCTCCGGAAACTTATTCTTCAACTCCAGAAGCCCTGGTGCTCCACTAGGATTACGACATGTAGCAACAATATAGCCTTTGTCATTTCTCTCTAACAATTGTCTGACCTGCATTAGTGGGAAACTCAGGTAAAACATTGCTTGAGCAGTTAAAAAACATGATAATTCACTGACAATCACAGTTCATTAATGATTGGACGAAATAGAGGTAATGTTGGTTTATCCTGTTCGAGCAATTCTTCCCATGCATAGAAAATTATATCAAGAAATGCTAAATTTTAGGGTTGGCAAAAGATTTGAACTCTTCTACTCAGACCACCCTACCGAAAACAAAAGTCCATGTAGACAGATATCAAATAAGGACTTTAACGAACCTAATGATTACTCCAGTAAGTGAATTCTTGATTTATATGTCAGCCATACCTGATAAGGTCATAGAGAAAAAATTTCTACTGCTTTGTTTCAAATTTCATGAAGGTTGTATGATTTCATTTCATTTGTGCAAATTTTGGCTGTGACATGGGAATCACGAAAAATGAGATGGGAAAGGGAGACCTATGGAAAAGAAAGGAAAAGAGAAAAAGAATGGAAAACGAAGAAGAAAGAAACTGGAAATCCAGTCTATATTTTAACTTGCTGTATGGATAAGGGTGAACTCCACCCAATGATTTGGATTGTAAGAGAACTTGGTCCTTTATGTGCAATTATGCCAAAGGCGCCCTACAGCCATTTCCCTGGATCAAAGGCTTAATCTAAAACCTGGTACCAGAGAAAGACTTTGGTTTATGATTCCACCTTCTTCATCAAAATAATAAACTAGGCACGCTCTGCTTATGTTAGGTGCAAAATTCTTCTATTTGAGCTAAGCAGAGACAACATCAATTCAAGAAAGAGGACTAAAAGTAAAAGACTACCCAAAATCAAGAAATCCTTTTCAGGTTTTCAACATTATCGCTACAGTATTCAGAATAAGACACAGACTTTCCATTAATACCCTAAAAACCAATATAATCTAGAGACACAGAAAGGCATTCTTTACCATAGTCGAAGTAATTTCTCTAATCAGCAATAGCATGCCATATTATGTTAGACAAATTAGACAATACCCATGATCTCCGTCTATATTGCTGAGATTTAAGTGGTTCATACTTGGCATAATAGGCATCTGCACTAAATGGACCTTCATTGCATCTTTTCATCAAAAGAATCATGCAATTAAACATTTAAACACTTGAAGCAACAAATAATGCCGGATCAATCAAATGTTCAAGCCGTACAGCACATAGGACAGCATACAATGTCTTATGATAGATGCCTATGTAAGCGCTAACTTATTCTTCACAATTAAAGACAAACAGTTCGAAATTTCAAATACTACTATATGGTACTATATAGAAACAGTCCTCGAACACTATAATGAATTATTCTCTCTAATAAATCACTCTCTGTTCCATTTTATGGGACGATTTTTGACTGAAACACAAAAGGGAACCCCGGTGCCCAGACCACCCCCATTCAAGCAAGGTTTGGGGAATGGCCGCACCCCAAGGGTGTGATGTATATAATGTACTCCCTCCCTCCCTCCCAATTTATGTGACACTATTCGCTTTTCGAGGGTCAAATTAACTAATCTTTGAAGCTAAATTGGGTTATCGTTAACTCAATATTTTAAAATTAAAATTTAGATATTTAAAGACTATATGAAAAGTAATATAAGTTCATGTCAATATGATGAAAAAATACATTTTAAAATATTAGTGAAAGTTCACATAGTTTGAATTTCGAGAAGAGAAAAGTGTCACACAAATTGAGACTGAGGGAGTACCAAAATTCTATCTTTTAAGATTACATGTCATCTCTATGAGTAAATGATGTAAAATGGAAATGCTAAAAGTAAACAGTTCTCAAACAATCAAATCTATCAATCATCTTAGAAAGGACTAAAAGGAAAAAATTGTATGGAATGAATGTTTATGTGACACTTATTTCCTAGTTAATTCGTTCTACAAAGAATGATATATTTTTATATCTAAAAACATCAAACTATAAACAAAAGCAGTTTTTACAGCCACACAAATGTTAACAAAATATATGGCCACATACATTTTATAGCATAGAAGAAACAGATAAAGAGAGAGGGAGAAAGAAAGAAGACTTACAAATTCCAAGCCAATGCCCCTGGAAGCTCCTTGAACCATTGAAACGCCTCCTTCCCATGTCGGCGCAGAAGCTGAAGTGGAGAATGCGTACCTTCTTCTTTTCAGAACTGGTCCGAGATATGGCCTGCCCATGAAAATCCGCTGGCTAAGAAGATTCAACTTCATCGTCCAGCTACTGAATCACGAAATTCCAACTATAAATAAGAACTTTTGTAAGTATGGAAGTGTGATTAGTATGAGAAAGGGAAATTGGCGAAGGCGCAGTGAATGTTGAATCCGTAACTTAGTTTCTTTTAACTACCTTTTGCGTCTGGTGCTCAAGGTTTTTATGAAGAGAAATCAGCCACGTCGTTACGGTAGAGGAGTGGAAATTGTGGCACTGTATTTTGCCATCCTTTCTTGCACCCTGCATAAGGGATTCCTGCACCCTACTAACCATTTTTTGCCTCGAATAAATGCTCACTTACACTGATATTTATATGGGAAACTTACACAAATGTTCCAAATAAATCTCAATTTACCAACCTCTAGCCATTAGTCATAGACTTACCAAAACTAGCCAACAAAAATTGAAAAACCAAATAATAGGGTTCTTTCTATCAAAGAATCACATGCAAAAATCACCTTCCATATTTTTAAACGTGATTAGCAACATTAGATACAAGACGGAAAGGAAATTTCATGGACAGGGTAGCAAATAAGGTGATGAAATCCAAAAATCTATACAATATTCTAAAAATCTAAAGAAAAAAGGAATTTTTTTCAATGGGTATAGTTGAAATTCATTGAAAATATATAGATAAGTCAATATACAAAATTTGAGGAAGATTGGAGGTGATTTGGACTGGTTTTGTATCAAAATTCGTAATTAAATCGAGTTCAAAAAAGTCTTATGCGACACATGTATCAAACATGTATCACGCATGTATCTCACACACAGGTATACATGAATATACATATGATACACAATTGATACAAATATGATACATATGTGATACACAAATGATACACAGTGTGATACACATATCATTTTTTTTTTCATATTCAGCTTTTACTTCGAATTTTCAATTCAAACCACCTCAAAACTTTACCAAATCATCCCAAAACTGAGATTCAAGCTCCTTAAGTTGTGCCCAATCTATTCTAATAACATCCACTCAAAACAAGGCAAAAAATTGATATTTTTTTGCTACAAATAGCTAATTGGCTAATATTAGTAATATTTTATCAATTGGCCAATTTTTGTAATGAGCTACTTGTAAATGGACATAGCTGGTAATTTCCCTATTTATATTACTAGATGCGGATGGTCCGTGCTAGCACGGGCTCAATAAAGGAAAACTTACACAAATGTATCATATAAATTTTAAATTAGAAGCCCAACAAGCCACATAACTGGTCTTTTAGAGATAGGGGCAATTTTAAACCAAAAAATCAACGGTATGGGCATTAAGAAGCCAATAAATTAACGAAGGGTATCCATAAAACAAATTAAATCAGATACGACTGAGGAAATTTTGAATATTTTTCCTTTCTAATTTATTCGTTCAAAGATGAAAAATAGATGATATAGTACATATGAAGAAGTTCATATATATTAAGAGGTAAATGGTTAAAAAAACTACAGAGCCAAAATTGGCCTCAGACTATTTGATTTGGTACAAATATGTCTTATGTCCACCTATTGAGCCAAAAATGCCTCCACCATTATTTTTCTGGCTCACTTATGCCCCTACGACTAATGGTCAATGCCAAATAAAAAAATGTTTACTTAAATTAAATTGCACGTGGCAATTTTTTATTGGTCCAATTTCAAACCATAACCTCAATTAAATAAACTCACTCTTAACCCATTTTTTTACCCAACCCAGATATCCGATTTGCCTTAAAAAATGGCCAAACTCTTGATTGTAAAGAAAATTAATTTCTCCATCTTTCTAATTCTACCACCATCATAGCTGCCACCATCCCCTTTCCTCCATAGCAACCATGCTGCCACCACATTTTTAGTCAAGGGGCAGTTTTAGTCCTTTTTCATATTTTATCATCTTCTTCATTTTACATTTACTATTGGGGCTGTCATTTTTCGAAAATGTTCGACAAAAGACCTTAATTTTCACATTCAATATCACATAGAATGGTAAATATTTTTTTCTTTCTCATCACATAAAATAATCAAAGTGCCCGTTATGAATTCATGCGCTTTAAATTTCGGAATAGTCTAGTTTTTTCTTCACAATTTTCGTAAATTTTGCAAACTATGGACTAGGTACTTCTCTTCGAACAAAATACTAATTTCACAACAAAAAAGGGACATCAAATTGAAAAAAAATTAAAAAAATAATTAATCGGACACTTTTGATTAGCATAATATTCTCGCTGTTATTGTTCGAAAATAGAGGAATGGAGCAAACATGAGAATCATGATTGTGGTGGCAACGTGGTTGTTATGGAGGAAAGGGGAGTGGTGACAGTTATGGTGATAGTAGAGTTGAAAAGATGGAGAAGTTAACTTTTTTTAACAATCAAGAGTTTGACCATATTTTTAGGTGGGTCGGATTTTGGGGTTGGGTAAAATAAAGGGTTAAGGGTGAATTTATTTAATTGGGTTCATAGATTAAAATTGGACCAATAAAAAATTGTCATATGTAATTTAAATAAAAAAAATTTATTTGGCAATGACCGTTAGTCGTATGGGCAAATGAGCTATAAAGATAACAGTGGGGCCTTTTTGGCTCAATAGGTGGATGGAGGGTATATTTGTACCAAATCGAATAGTCTCGGGATAGTTTTTGCCCTTTTCCGAAAAAACTAAGGTGCAGATGGAAGAAATAGTGGAATACAATGAACTTCACCTGCCAACAAAATCTTTTGTTATTAGGGAAATAGGAAATTAATAAGCGATTAAATAATGTACCAGGACAAACCACACATTCGTTTTACCATCCGGAATTGCGTTTACGGCTAAAAATACCACCCCGGCTATGATATTCATTGAGCTACCTAGGTCAATCACTACCCTCAGTAGTATGATATTCATTGAGCTACTTGGGTCAATCAAAACTCGTTTAACATTAATATCATGAACAAGTAAAGATATTACAGTGCATCGTTATGAAGGATAATCAAGTCGTCCGCATCTTCACGTTAAATATTATGTTGTCCTCTTCCAAAACCTGACGAACCCATTTTCCGTGGGTAACGGTGACTTTAGATGTCTTTTTTGCCGCTGTTTATGTTACCCCATTGACTTCTTCACCCCCGATTATGTCACGACCCGGATTTTCCATCCTCGGAAGTCGTGGTGGCGCCTACTCGTAAAAGCTAGGCAAGCCGAGTATTATAGATTCACTAACTCTTTTATTTAGCCCTTTTTAACAGTTTAAATCAACATGCGATCAACAGTGAAATATTAACAGTAATTAAATACATGCGGAAGACGTAATCTGATAACTCAGCCAAAAAAACAAGTACGACAATACCAAGTACATCTCTACCTGGAACCGGTGTCACAATATCATGGACCGTCTACGAATACTACAAACAATTATCTGGAAAGAAAGATACAATCTGTCTGTAAAGTAAATGAAAGCAGAATATAGAGATAGAAGAGAACGCAGGGGCCTGCGGACGCCTGCAGGACTACCTCGGGATCTCTGATTGGACTGAAGGCAGCCACCCAAAGCTATGGTCCAAAAGCTGCCGCTCCGGGATCTGCACACAGTGCAGAGTGTAGTATCAGCACAACCGACCCCATGTGCTGGTAAGTGCCTTGCCTAACCCCGGCGAAGTAGTGACGAGACTAGGACCAGACTACCAAATAAACCTGTGCAGTTATATCATATACAACGAAAAATAAACAGAAATAGACAATTAAAGATAGGAGGGGGACATGCTGGGGAGAGTATCATTTACCAACAGTAATCTGAGAGAAAAGCATAAAGAACTATTTAAAATTCACAACAAAAGAATAAGGAAATCGTTATTAATCAATAAACACTTTTATTATCTATTACTGCGGTGCGCAACCCGATCCAAATCATAAAAACACTGTTGCGGCGTGCAACCCGATCCATATCATTTATTACTGTTGCGGCGTGCAACCCGATCCAATTATATTATTGTTGCAGCGTGCAACCCGATCCAAGCATAATGTTGTTGCGACGTGCAACCCGATCCAAATATAATATTGTTGCGGCGTGCAACCCGATTCCAATCACAAAGAGAGTCCCGACAAGGGAACAATAAAGAAAACAACCCTATCCAGGCAAGGGAATCGACGGTATAAGTAAATACGTCTCGGCAAGGGAAAATCAGCTATAACCAAACTTGTTCCAACATCTAACTTCACAAAAGAACCTCAACTAGCACCAATACCCAACCATAAGCAATTTCCACGAGAACAATCATAATCCTTGCTCAACACAGAGAATCAACAACTTAGGCATTCGTAGTACTTATTAAGAACACAACAATTTCAATTTAAGACTCACGGTCATGCTTGACACCAACGTATAGATACTCGTCACCATGCCTATACGTCGTACTCAACAAGTAACACGTAGCAAATAGGACACAACTCCTAATCCCTCAAGCTAAGGTTAGACCAAACACTTACCTCGAACTTATACGGCAAACTCAAGCCTCAAACACCGCTTTTCCTTTAGAATTCGCCTCCAAACAACTCGTATCTGGCCCAAATTAATTCAACAACATCAATAAATGCTAAAGAATTCATACCCAATGCTTAATTATAGGTTTTCTATCATTTTCCCCAAATAGTCAAAAATCGACCCCGGGCCCGCTTGGCCAAAACACGAGATACGGACCAAAACCCGATCACCCATTCACCCACGATCCAAATATGCAATTAGTTTCGAAATCCGATCCCAAAACGAGATCTAAATCCCAATTAATCAAAAAGACCTAACTCTACACAAATCCCTAATTTCTACCATAAAACCCTAGATTTTAGGATGAAAATTGATGAAATGCAATGGGAAATCGAAAGAAAAAGGTTTAGAATCATTTACCAATGTTTTGGGGAAGAAACTGCTCTTTGAAAATTGCCTCAATGCTCCCAAATTTCAAAAATATGAAGTAAATGGGTTCTGCCTGTTTTTGCTTCTGTTTTAAAATCACTGGGCAGGCCTTCATCGTGTTCGCGATATGCTTGTCGCGTTCGCGATGGATCAGGCCCAGCTGACCATCGCTCGCATTCGCGAAGCTTTAGCTCCCAGAGTCATCGCGTTCGCGGTCAGGTGGCCGCGTTCACGTAAGGTAAAGTGTGAAATCCCTCCTCCCCAGGCCACTAACCCTACGCATTCGCGAGGGCCTGGACGCGTTTGTGTAGGGTATTCCCCTCACAGCCTCGCGTTCGCGTCCCAAGCTTCGCGTTCGCGAAGAATAAATTTTCACCTGATGGAGATT